AAGCCGATTCCTATCCAGGCTCGGCTAAGATCATACTCCCAGACTGATCCAAGTCTTGTCTTCTTCTGATCACCGGATATGTAGCCGAGTGCACATTCAATAAAGGTCATGCCTAAATATACTACAGATGGGTTAAATGACTGCCACATTACAAACATGTCTTGTCTAATAACTGCAACTCAGTTTTTTAACCGTAATAAGGGTGAGAGAATGATCAGTGAAACCTACAGGATACAGGATACCTTTTCACTGCTTAAAACGTATATAGAACACTGAAAAAAATCGATGTTTCTGCAAAAGCACACAAATTATGCTGCAACATTTATTAAAGGAAAGGGTAAACTGGAGCATTTAGAAAAACTGTATGTATGTACAACGTAATTTTTGGAATACAGTAAAAGTCTTTCACATAGATTGCATTGTGAATGATATGGAGATCCTTAGAAACTTAAATACTGCAGATCTGAAATACAATTTATTTCTGAAAACATTTAGAATTGAGTTAGTTTAATTCAAAAGCCTGATCACTTGGCAAAATCTATAAAAGCAGCTCCTATTTTTGGGCTAGAAACTGCAAAAAGCAGCCAAGCATCTCCTGAGTCACACTACATTTATTCCCAATTTCTGATAATTATCAACAATCATCCTTTCTGACAAGATGAATAGAACTGAAGGATTGTCTGTCACATGCAGGGTCAGTCAAAGTGTTACATGGTGTGCATGACCAGTTCCAGATAGTGGAGAACTGAAACCATTGTGAGACAGTACACCATGCAGTTCACCTGAAAAAATATCATAGTGGGATTATTGGGACTTTCACTGAGGTCATGGTGCAAAACCCTTTTCTTCTGAAAGGCTGGCATCATGTCACATCAATTAGACAAGTCAGAACATGATGCTCAGAACAGGCAAAAATAGTTTAGTGATCCTATGCTTATTTGCTCTGAAGTTATAGCTTGATCTATGAGCAGCATGGAGAGAAAACAAAAACACTTAACAGGAAATCCAAACATCCATGGTTACATTAAGGCAAGACATGTATCTTTGAAGTGTACCATACTGTGAGAGCTACTGTTATTGGATAAAACATTTTCTTTTGGCACCGCACAGGTGTTTAAAAATATGTACTTACGATCCTCAGACTTGCCTTTCTCTTTGTTAATTTGGATGATTTTCTTGTTACTGCTTTTTGTGTTCTGCCCTTTCATGTTAGCAGTGAAAGTATTTCCTGTGTAGTCCAGACAGGCTAGTTAAAGGTGTGATACTACGTGACAGAAGGTACTGCATCATTACAGAAGTTCATTGCAGGATCCAGTTTCTTCTTTAATAATGTGAGAGGCTCTACTTCTGTAGGATAGATTTTACAAAGTGTTGCAAAATGCTCCAACCCTTCTGTGAAGAAGTTCCTTATTCCTGCAGCTGGGAGAAAACACTTACCTCTTTGTCTGTTTTGAGGACACTCTCAGCCCCAGCAGAGGAAGGCGTGTTAAGGACCAGTCCCAGCGGCCGTACCACTGCATTGGCCACATCGCGCCCTACAGCATTTGGGTAGCTGTGGAGAACACTCAGGTGTCCCTGGTCACTCTGGACCACCAGGTGCAATGACCGCCATTCCGAATACATGGTGCTTCTGTTCTACTCAATCCAATAACTACCTGCAACATAGCACAAATCTGCTCTCAGAAACTAGGATTCAGATCAACCTTAGAATAGCCACCTGACTTTTGGGGTGCAGACATGTTTATCTGCACCCCAAAATAGTTATTTGTAAATAAAAATCAATGCGCTGACTTTTTTAGTTGTACACAAAATGCAATAACTAAAAACCCTGTGGTGTACAATAAAAAAGACACCATTTGGATAAAGGCTCAAGCTAACAATTTTCATTCAAATAACGACACCATTGTATCAACGAAACAAAAACCTTGCCCACAACGGCTGCCCCTTTAACAATGTAATAATGCAACATACAGTATACAATTGGTCACTTCTGTGAACACTTCTACAGCAGAAGCAATGTAGTGGTAAACAATTAACTCATTTTATTCAAGTTATATTCCACACAAGTAGGATCGTTTTAATTAATCTCATGGTGTATATGTCTATGTAACATTATATTTGTTGTATCAATTGACAAAAAAATGCATTTTCAGGGTAAACCTAGACCATTCTTCTGCTATAATGTTAGAAGCAACACTTGCTAATGGAACATTTAGATAACACTGACTATTCTGAGGAAGTATGAGTGCTGCATCATGACCAACCCACCACTTCAAATGAGATTCAGTTATATCTGGCAACAGTCACAATCTTTTAAATCACATAATCATCAGTGCTGTAGATCTGCTTATGACTTGCTTGTCCAAAGCACAAATGATCCTCAAAGGTGCAAGTTGGTTAGTGCACAAATTATCGACAATACTACTATTAAAAGCAATAATGTCTTTGCACTCCAATTGTCATAAAAAATAAACAAGGTTAGCATAAGTTCATCTACAAAACCACTTTTAGTTAGTAAGAGTTCACATGCTTAATGCACAATTACAGCACTGGAACTCCAAGCAAAAAAGCAACAACCAGTTGAAAACCAGACTGAAACTAGATTGAAAGAGTGACTATAGAGGCAGCAGTGTGGAGCAGTGGTTAGCGCTCTGGACTCAGACTGTCTCGTTGTGGGTTCAAATCTCAGGCAAGCTGCTGATGTATAGATGGCCAAGGTATACATCACTGTGCTAGTTTCAGTAAGTCCTAATTAAATGGGTGCTCTGCAATTCTCTGAAAATCATTTTCTCAACTGACTTATCAAGTTAAATAAAGAAATGTTTTGCCACTAAGCTTAATCAGAGGTTTTCTGTCCTATCACGTAACTAAGCAATTTTCATGACATCTAACTTACAGGTTCACAGATGTACTATAACAATGCCAAAACCTGACAGGAAACATGAAAATATGAACAATGAAAAAGTATATGTTAATAAATTTTAACATGGGAACATTTTTGTTAAATTACTTTTAAAGTAAGAGTCCCCACTTTGTTGTGTCATCAACAGGAAGCCTTTTAGCACTCAAGAGAGATATTGGAGTGAAAATCCAAGTACTGTTGAACTTGGCAAGGCTGTAGTCTGTTAACTGTGCAGTATTGGAGCTATTATTACATAAACCATACTACATTTTCTTTTGATACAGTGCAGGTATCTAAATTATTTTAATGACTTTAGGGTCAGTTTTAATCTCTCTACCACCTTTGTTTCTGCAGAAAAAGAGAACAGTTAAACAGCAGAGCAGAGCAAGTTTTCTCCTCTGATCAATGTCTACAATATTGGTTACATCTGAGTGCAGCAATGTTTCGTGCTACATTGTGCAGACTGAAAACAACCACTGTGCACAAACATGGATTTCCCAATTGTTCACTATATATTTAATACCTTGGCATTTATGGTTAACAGAAAGTCATTATTGTACAGCTCAAGACCAAAATCTTTGAGAGGTTGGTAATGACAAACATTGAACCCCGGGTTCACAGACAATGTTGATCCATTTCAGTTTACATACAGACATAATAGGTCCACACCTGATGGGACCACATAATAGGTCCACAGCTGCTTAGGCAGTGATAGTAATATAGTATAGATGTTTATAATTTCAAGATTGTAGACACCTATACTGTATTACTATCCATAGATTATAGCTCAACTTTTAATACCATAATACCATCCAAATTAGTCACCAAGGTCTTGGACATGGCCTTAATACTTCTCTTTGTAACTGGATTCTGGACTTCCTGACGGACAAACCTCAATCTGTGAAAATATGCAACAACATCTCCTCCACTCTGATCCTCAACACAGGAGCCCCCTGTTCTACTCCCTGTTCATCAACGATTGTGTGACACAGCTCCAAATCCATCTTTAAGTTCATTGACAACATCACCCAATTGTGATGTTGTCAATGAACATCACCACTGTAGGTTTGATCATTAATAATGATGGAACAGAGTACAGAAAAGAGATTAAGGACCTGGTATACCAGGCCAGAACAACAACCACTCCTCAATGTCAGCAAAACTAAGGAGTTGGTTGTTGACTTCAGGAAGCAGGGAGGAGGCCACAACCCTGTCTACATCAACGGGGCTGCTGTGGAGATGGTCAGCAGCTTCAGGCATTTACATCACCAACAATTTGACCTGGTCTCATTGCATAGACGAAGTAATCACAAGACCACCACCAGTGCTTCTACTTCCTCAGGAGTTTGGTATGTCTCACAAAAACACTCACAAATTTCTACAGATGCACTATAGAAAGTATTTTTACTGGATGCATTATGTTTTGGTATGGTAATTACTCAGCTCATGAACATAAAAAAACTACAGGTGGTGGAGACAGCTGAGGCCATCACTGGTACAGAACTCCCTTCAATCCAGTCTATTTTCACCACACACTGCCTCAGTCTGGCAAATAATATAATCAAAACCCAGTAACACCCTGAGAATTCACTTTTCTTTCTTCCTCCTTCTGGCAGAAATTTTAGGAGTATATAGCCCGGACCTCTTGGTTCAAAGAACGTTTCTACCCCACAGCCATAATACTCCTCCTCTTAAATCCTCCCCCACTTACAACCCTCTGTTTTTGTACTGAACTCAAAATACTACCACGCTCACTTTTGCACACAGCTGTTACCTAAATGCTCATTATAATTATAGCTGCTACCCTGTTCCTATCTCCATGAAACTGTAATGTCATTTATGATGTCATTTTCTATGTCAATGTTATGTTATTTGTCAAGTGACAAAACACAGAAGTATTGCACTGTACTCATGTACACATGACAAACTTGAACTTGATGTAGTGCACTACTTTGAAAACTATCCTTCCTGTGTGTGCTGGGAAAGGAGTCTTCCTTTACTGCTGCAATGGCAGATCTTCACAACACTGACTCTCCCTTCGTTTTAACGATTCGTTTTAACCCTTCGAGTTTAAAACATGGTGACAAATTAAAATGCTAAATTTGTTTACTGATATAGATTCAGGGTTTCCCACAATTGTATACAGGCCAAGCTGACTGCCTAACCAAAAATCCGCAATGCCTGGCCAAACATGCATGAACACCAAAAAAACATACGCAAGAATTCATCCTGAATTACTTTCTTCTTTCATAATGATACACAGCAAGATCATTTGCCAGCCAGCAGCCATGATGGTATATAATCTCATGAATTTTATCTCATTCCATGGTCTGAAAATCTCATGCATTTGCATCAAGTGTAGGTTGATTAAAAAAATGCATTAATGAATGTGAAATTTAAAACAGTTATAGGGTATCTCACGCACAGTTTTGAATAATCATCACCAACTAGATTTCAAAATTGACTGCAGTAAGCCTTTGCTATCTGCAGATTTGTAATGACAGTTTTGAATAATCATGAATTGTCACACCATTCCGCACTTTCCCTGTGCAACACAGTTTGTACAATGTACAGCATTAATTATATGCAGGGTGATTATGCCAGCAGCCATATCACCCTGCAACTCACAAGTGGCAACCCACTTAAGCTAAGCAGGTGTGAGCCTGGTCAGTACCTGGATGGGAGACCTCCTGGGAAAAACTAAGGCTGCTGCTGGAAGAGGCGTTAGTGGGGCCAGCAGGGGGCGCTAACCCTGCGGCTCATGAGGGTCCTAATGCCCCAGTGTAGTGACGGGGACACTATACTGTAAACAGGCAGATGAGACGTAAAACCGAGGTCCTGACTCTCTGTGGTCATTAAAAATCCCAGGGTGTTTCTCGAAAAGAGTAGGGGTGTACCCGAGCGTCCTGGCCAAATTTCCCATCGGCCTTTATCAATCATGGCCTCCTAACAATCCCCCTCTATAAATTGGCTTAATTACTCTGCTCTCCTCCCCACTGATCGCTGATGTGTGGTGAGCGTTCTGGTGCACTATGGCTGCTGGGACTTCAGACAACCTCTGTACTGTGGATGACAAGTCTCTTGCACTACACTGTATCTTTAAAGACATGATAATAGACATGACTTTATACTTTCTGTCCCGAAAATGAAGAGGTTCCAGGTTACAGTACGCTCCTGGTCTGTGAGGTCCATCTTCCAGACCAACAACACTACCTTTAAGACGAAATGCAGCAGGTATTGCGTTTTAAATTTTTTAGTTATTTAAAGTACAAAATATACTTTTCAAGCTACTCTGTAGGCTTTATATGTATTAATAATCTCAATTGACAGAAAGTTCAACATTGCTGAAGGTCTGTTGATGTATCATATACTGACAAATTCCTTGGAGTCAACTGCAGAATACAGGAAGAAGCTTAGAAAAACGTTAATTTATTAGGTGTGTCTGACTGTGCTAAAAGGTGGTATGTGGCACACCCAGATAAAAATGAGAAAGTCACAATAGTCATGGTCAGTCTTAATATTACTAATAACAACACTTTACAGTTTCTGACACACCTGAAGAAGGCTCCACTGCCGAAATGATGCATTTCTTTTCTTCTCTTTTAAGCATGGAATAAACCTTTACTTGTTCCTTTACATTTATGGCTGTCAGGAAATAGCAACTAGGTGAATATTACAACAGCTTAAGTTTTATAGTCCTGTCTAGTTTCAGTAAAGCACATCAGATGAGGTGAGGCTAAAGCATTTTTCACTGAGTCTCATGCTGTAACAAAACTTAATGTGCTATCTGCTCTTCTAGAATCTGCACAAACCAAAGAGTTTTCTGCCAGGTCAAACCCAAATTACATAACACAAATTAAATACACTTTGCTGTAATTTTTAAATATATTTCAAAATAAATATTTCTCCACAACCATTACACCTTCTTACAAAAACAAAAATAAGAAAATAACATGAAAAAGGTTACATACTAGATGGATTAATTTGCTTCCTCTGTTTTTTTTGGTTCCTACTTGACCCTAACTGACCTCATCCAGACATTTCTTAAGGCTTCAAGCACCTAGGCACTTTAAAAAGAGTATAGGGAAGGTTTCAGTGAGGGCTAGTTAAGAATTTAAGGAGCAACTGCTACTGCACTGGACGGAGACAAAAAATATTTGTCACTCCCTCTGTGACCAAGCACGGATGGATGTGAACCAATATATTGTCTGCTGTATTGTTTCATTAAAGCTGAAGTTGATATTTTGGAATGGGATTCAAACATTGAGCGACAGCTTTATTAAAATCTGCTCACAATGATGCAAAAGGGTCAAATTCACCAGTGGCAATGGACTTATTTACCTATCTATTCTTGTGCAACTCCCATTATTTAGAAAAAGCACTCTTTTGGCTTCTGGGGGAAAGACCAGAACAAAAGCGCACTCTATAAGCAAGCGTTAAGCCCGTGGACAGTCGCAGAGGACTTTTAGAGGAAAAGCAACAAAACCCCAATGTGTTTTTCAGGAGTCTCTAAGACTGGAACTGATTGGGGATCGCATGGCAGGGAGAATGTACTCCTGCCTCAAGTACTGGAGAAGGAGTTTCTGGGGCTACGACAGCTACACGAAAAGGTTGGGGGTCAATCCGTGCCACGGGAACGCAGTTAGGGTTGCTGGTTTTCTGATAGTACAGGAAAAAAACAGCAGAAGACCAGATTCAAGAACAAGAACTAAGATCCTTGCTAGCTCACAGAAAAGCTGGATTCCTCGTTACAGGAGGAGCGCTGAAGGGCGGAAGGGCTGGGTTTCTTTTCACCGTAGTTAAGATAAAAAACGCAGTAAAGCGCAGATCACACAAATGGTGGTTTCCGAATATGAAGGCGACACATAATGAGAGGAAGTCGGACAAACCTCGGTACCTCTGGCCGTGGCAGAGATCATTCACTCCTTCGATACAAATAACAGTTACAAGCATGCGATCACAACACCCCGGACATAAGGAGAAAAAAACCTATACAAACATTTTGCATCAACATAACGCGTTGAAACATCATAGTCGTTTAAGGTTTTAGATAATTAATCGTTCAGTTACAGCTAGCTAATTTCCTGACACAAAATCTGAAAACAGATCGCAGTTCCAAAATACGGGTCTTTACGGGTAGACTAGGTATCTAAATTGGTGATTCCGACTACACTAAGATAATAAACATGGCCTATAAACGGTAACATTCTCAAGCTAAAATATCATACAATGTCACCGACACAGCAAAAAAAAAAAAAGGCAACCCTAGCCAGGCACAAGTAAACGGCCACAAGATAAACTTGAGTCCCCTGCTGCGCTGTTAATGTAGGCCGCAATGCAGGACAAATAAATCGTGAAACCCTGGCCCAGGTATTAGGGATTACTAAAATACCTGTGCAAGGGGAAGGTTGACAAATCATCCCGCTTCGTCTCCGCTACAGCTTCGGCTTCACAGTCCGGGATCATTCAACATCATCTTTGTTGATAAGTCCACCGATACGAACAGCCCCTTCCGCCCTGTCTCCGTCCGGTGGAGTCGGCACCGACACTGCGGGGATTCGGGAAGCGCCGAGAAAAACCGAAAGCAGCGCCCCCTCCCGGGCACAATCGGGAAAGCCTGTACTCTCAAATAGAGCAGAGGACGTCGCTACTATCTCAGACAATTTCAAAAACAGAGCGTTTAGCCTTAGAAAAAGATTCCTAATTTATATTAATTATTATTTAATATTATATAATTTGAGTTATTACGTTCTCTGATTATTGTATCTGAGTTTTTATTTAGTATCACAATTTCATAACACAACTCAAATAAATTTTTGCATTGAATATTATTTTGACCTGCTTGTGAGTTGTTGATTCTTCCACATTGATTCGTGAGTAGGCCTTCAAGAAACTTCAGGTCACTTCGTAGGCGACAGGTCTATGTTGGCTTCCAGTATCTTCTGCTGCATTCTTAACCCTTGTTTTTATCCTTTACCCCTTGCAAACTTTTCCCCCTTCTTACAGTAGTGTGCTTTGATTAGCTACTTTTAAAGATGCTATATAAAAACACATTTATTTTTATTAGCAAGAAGAATTTTATTTAAAAAGATTCAATGTATTAAGAGCAAATATTTTACATCACTGGACCGTTGTGTAAGAGTATATTGTAACGCATTCGCCCGGCGCTATGGCTGAAGAGCGCCCGGCTGGGGTGCACGACGAGGGGCAGACGGGAGTGGTAGTGGTCAGGGCGGGGACTAGGAGGGCCGCTGACCAATGCAGCTGACCCGCTGCAAAATGGGCGTACAGTCTGGTGAGATCAGATTCATGTAAATAGTTCCTTGGTTTCGCACCCCTGTTTTACTTGTACCCAATTGACACCCCATACCTGTGTAACTACCCGCATAGAGCCCTGTGTTGCTCTCTCTCTTTTCTCTTTTTCTGGCGCTCGTTCACTCTCTCTATTTTCTCTCTCTCTGGCGCTCGCTCGCCCTCTTTCTCTCTTGGCTGTTTTTTTTACTCCACGAAGTCTGAGTCACTGTGTCTGTCCTTGCTGAACCCGAAATCACTACATTGGTGTCAGAAGCAGGAGGATGGACAGTGAAAAGCCATTGATGTCGGACTCGGAGAAGCGCCTGTAGCCCCAGCAGCTGAGCGACCCCGTAAAGCGCCTTTTGGGGGCGAGCAGCAGCCGCCAGGGGCCGGGATGGCCCCTCAGCACCACCGGTGAACAGCCCTTATGGGGCTACCCAACAGCGGCCTGCTTAGCAGAGGAGGGACCCTTTCCCATGTCGCCTCAGGCCATGTGGCGGGAAGGAGACGCCAGACCAGTAGGGTCCAGCCTGCCACCACTGCACCAGCCAGCACCGATGCGACTGAGCCGATATAATGGGGAGGTTCCATGGCAACTTTTGAGGCCCAGTTCCTGATTGCGGCCTGGGCAAACGGCTGGTCTCAGGTGGAGATGGCAGGCCACTTGGCCACGGTCCTGGAGGGGAAGGCCTGCCAGGCGCTGCTGGATGAACCCGGGGCGTTTCGGCGGGAGAGGGGAGGCGCTGTAACTGTTGCGGGCGAGGTTGGCCCAAAGCTGCCGCCTAGTGGGAGTGCAACTGGGGTCGGTCGCCCCCGACATGGTCTACTTAGCCCGCCAGGGTTGCCCACCAGGAGATAATTAATAATAATAATAATTGCTTACACTTATACAGTATAGCGCTTTTCTGGACACTCCACTCAAAGCGCTTTACAGGTAATGGGGACTGTCCTCCACCACCACCAATGTGCACCATCCATCTGGATGATGCGACGGCAGCCATAGTGCGCCAGAACACTCACCACACATCAGCTATTAGTGGGGAGGAGAGCAGAGAGTAATGAAACCTCATAGATGGGGATTATTAGGAGGCCATGATTGGTAAGGGCCAATGGGAAATTTGGCCAGGACGCCGGGGTTACACCCCTACTCTTTTTGGGGAACGGCCTTGGGTTTTTTAATGACCACAGAGAGTCAGGACCTTGGTTTTACGTCTCATCCGAAGGATGGCACCTGTTTACAGTATAGTGTCCCCATCACTATACTGGGGCATTAGGACCCACGTGGACCACAGGGTGAGCACCCCCTGCTGGCCCCACTAACACCTCTTCCGGCAGCAACCTTAGTTTTGTGCTCCAGGCCATTGCGCCGACTGAGGTGCAGCACCACGTGATGCTGGCCGCGCCAGTCTCCTTGGAGCAGGCCCTGGCTCTGGTGGAGCAGGCTGATGACCGGAGGGCACCACTGGAGGGGAGGAGGAAGTGGTCAGCACGGCGACGCCGGGAGAGCAAAGACGGCGGGTCATCTGAACCGCTGTGGGGAAAGGGGGCACTTCACCCGGGAGTGCTGGGTGCCAGAGCCCCGGGGACTCCTGAGGCCATCGGGAAATGGGAGTGGGGCAGCCTAAAGAGGGGAAGGCCGCCCTTGAATGATGCTACCCCTGTCTGCTGCTGTGGGAAGGGTTGGCCACAACCGGGGTTTATTTCTTTCCTGCCTCATCGAGGGCAGACCCTGCCAGGCCCTGGCCGACACCGGCTCGACCATCACACTGCTGCGGCCTGGTGTCCTGCCGGGCACCGAGGCAGCCGGACACCCAGGATCGGAAACCACCAGCCTGCACCTGAGGACGGTGATGGGGCAGTGCGCAGAGGTCCTCGGCAAGTGGGCGCTCACTGTGCAGTTTGGGGCTGTGAGGGTAAAACACCCCTTCTGCCTTGCCCCAATCCGTGAGGACTGTATCCTGGGGTTGGACTGGTTGCAGCAGGTGAGTGGTTGCCTTGACTTGGGCCGGCAAGAGTTGGTGGGGCAGGGGGAATGTATCCATCCTGCTGCTGGCGGGGTGGGAGGTGTCCAGGGCGCACTGGCTGACCGGACCAGGAAGCGGAGATGGTAGTGGCGAGCAGAACTGACTCCCGGGCCGCCCGGCCAGGTGGTTAATGGGGTGGCCGCTGGGGGGAATAAAGGTCACTCGAGACCAGCAACGGCGGCTGCAGTCTTTCCTTTTCCGAGAAGAAGATCTGTTCGCGGCGAGGGATGAGGACTGCACCCGCACGGCTCTCACACAGCACTAAATTGACACTGGGGATGCGCAGGACTGATGATGCACTGGACAACATTTCTGGGTTGACCTGATTCAGCTCGCTCGATCTCTGCTGGTTACTGGCAGGTTCCACTCATCCCTGAGGCTCACCCGAAGATGGCCTTCTCCATCGGCCAAGGGCTCTGTCAGTTCACAGTCATGCCTTTCGGACTGTGTAATGCCCCGGCGATGTATGAGCGGTTTAAGCACAAGACAATTTACTCGTGCATGCCCGGGATTTCAAACAAGCCTTGGCAAGCCTCCGGTTAGTGTTGGCTTGCATCCGGCGGGCTGTTTCTTGGGGTTGGCATCTTATTACCGGAGGTTCATCCGGGACTTCGCCGGCCTCGCTGCCCCGCTGCCCCGCTGCACCACCTCACACAGAACGGGCAGCGTTTTGTGTGGGATGCGGAATGTGAGGCGGCCTTCCGGGAGTTGCGGGAGGCACTGGGGGGGGCCCCCGTCCTGACCTTCAAAGATCTGACATTGCCCTATGTGATGGATAGAGATGCCAGTTTTACAGGGGTGAGCTCAGTGCTAGCACAGGAAGGGCCAGACAGGGACGGTCCGCCACTTCAAGCCCTATCTGTTCGGGACCCAGTTTAAACTGCAGACAGACCATGCGTCCCTCACCTGGCTCCTCAATTTCAAAGAGCCAGAGCTCTTTGAAATTGAGCCAGAGGTCAAATGGCGAGGTGGATTGAGATACTGCAGGAGTACAACTTCACGGTCGTGCACCGTGCGGGGTCTCGCCACCGAAATGCAGACAATCTCTTGCGGAAGCCCTGTGAGGCAGCGGACTGCCACTATTGCGCCTGGCTGGAGCAGCGTGAGGAGGCCACCCATGGCAGGAGGGAAGCGAGCATCGCAGTCACGTCCCCGAGCGGGCCTTTTGGTGTGGGCCTGGCAGACCTGGGGTGGCAGCAGGAGGCAGACCCCAACATCAGGCCAGTGCTCCGTGGGAAGGCATCATGGATCTGGCCAGTGCAGGAGGAGCTCGCCCCTCACCCTAGGTCAGTGAAGGCGTTCTGCGCGCTGTTCGAGGTCTTGGTTGATAGACGGGGTGCCGCCGGGCCGGATTATGAGTATGCCGTGGAGCAGCGGATGCTGTGAGTACACAGCTTCGCCCGAAGCCGCCTGACTCAGGTGGGGGTACGGCAGAAGCGGTACTATGATCTGCACTGCAGACCGGGAGACCTTGTCTAGGTCTACAACCCCCGGCGCCGCAAGGGCCTTAGCCCAAAGGAGGGACCTGGGGAGATCGTGGAGGTCATGGGGAGGTCTGCTACCGTGTTCAGTTCGGGAAGCGAGGGAGGGTGTTGGTCCTGCACCGAGACCGTCTGGTTCCTTTCAGGGCTCGTGAGGGGGCGCTTGAACAGAGGGGCGCAGAGGAGCCCTGGGAGCAGCCAGGTCCAGATTTCACTGGGCCGGCAGGGGCTGAGGGGGCAGACTGCCAGACTCCACCCGGATTCGTGTAAATAGTTCCCTGGTTATGCACCCCGTTTTATTTGTACCCAATTGACACCCCTTCCCTGTGTAACTACCCATGTGTTGCTCTCTCTTTTCTCAATTCAATTTAAGGTGCTTTATTAGCATGACCGATGGGTACTATCAGTGTTGCCAAAGCAAACACTCTCTCTCTGGTGCTCACTCGCTCGGTCTCTCAATCTCTCTCTCTCGGCTGAGCGCATGGGAGTGCTGGCTGGCTGGTTGTGCCGAAATAAATAAAGCGCCGTTTTTTTTACTCCACGAAGTCTGAGTCACTGTGTCCGTCCTCTCCGAACCCAAAATTGCTACAATTTCTTAACCAAATATTTCAGCCACACTTACCCAATATTCTGCATTGAGACCCGAGGTAATTTAAAATGTTAATGTATCTTCTATTTGCACATTATGAGCCTACATATTTAAACATTAAATTGACAGGGGCATGTTTTCATTATTTTGTGATAGGCAG